GCACAGCTCTGACAGCAGGTGGGGCCATGGGCAAGTCTCTGCACCACTTGCAGCCGCAGGGTCTTGGAAGGTGTCAGGCTTCAAAGAGAGAGAGGCTGGACCTCTCAGCAGGTGCCCAGGGCACGCGGCACTGACTACTCTCTCTCTACAGTGAGGGGGCCCCTCACTCACCTCCCTACAGGGTTCTAGAGGGAGACACAGAACAAGTGGGAGGAGAAAGCACTCTGCAACAATCTGTCCAAATCTCTGCAGGTACACGAGATTGTCACGAGAGTCCACGTGCGCTCTTCATGTGTCCAGGGGAAATGCATGGCACCAACAGAGTCCCGGGGATTGCACAGCTGGGATGAAGGGCTGCGCCCAGCAACAGATCTGGCCATGCCTCCTATCCCTGGGTTCCTCTTACGACGACATGTTTCTACAATTTCCCCACGACTCTTTCACTGAAGAACCAGCTTCTTAGCAGATACTGGTGTCCACTTGATTCCCAGCATTGCTGCACATCTGCTGCTCATTTCAGCTGCCTGGGCGGCTGTGCCAAGCCCCCCCATTCCCTGGCTCCTTAGCTCTGGCCAAGGCACCTCTCAGAGCTTCCACTTGCTTGTGTGTGGAACTGGCCCCACGGTCCCGAGATCTGCTTCACAGGGTTGGTGCAAGGCTCATCTAAAATAGCCTACATGGCAAATTCTTCGTCAACTCTAACATGTTTTTATTTTTGCTTGTTTTCAACATCCCCTTTAAATGATGGGGACGTTAAGTAAGGGAGTGGTTAGGAGACCTGGAAGACTAGAAATAAAGATTCGTATATATGAGGGTATTTTTTCTTTTTTGAGATAGAGTCTTGCTCTGTCACCCAGGCTGGAGTGCGGTGGAGCAATCTCTGCTCACTACAGTCTCGACCTCCAGAGCTCAGGTAACCGCCCCACCTCAGCCTCCTGAGTAGCTGGGCCTACAGGTGCGTGCCACCACAACCAGCTAATTTTTGTATTTTTTTGTAGAGATGGGGTCTTGCTCTTTTGTCCAAGCTGGTCTCGAACTCCTGGGCTCAAGCAATCCTCCCATCTTGGCCTCTCAAAGTGCTGGGATCACAGGAGACAGCTACTGTACCTGGCCTACGAGGGTATTTTTGAAGTTCACTCATTTCTTCCAGAAAAAACAGTTCCTTCCTAGTGTAACTTCCCTGCTGTAATTAAAGGTGCAGATGTGCTGGGTGAGAGTCAAGTGGTCTGTCCAGGCGTGGGCGCTCTGGGCTCTGCTCTCAGGTCCCAGGTCTCAGGTGCTGTTTCTCTTTCTCGTTTCTGAAACTGCACTTGGCCTGACCCAGGCAGGACACACAGAGTCATATGGATATCCTCCAGGGCTGACGAGTGGCCACACTGGAGAGCCTGACTGCAGTCCTCCAAAGTCCTTCCCCATGTAGCGTGGCTTTGAGCCTCTTCAAAACCTGCACATCCAGAGCACAATAAGCCTCGAGGAGCATGTGGGTAAAACGATGTACGTGGCATGCGAGGAGCTGGAGAAAAGTGGGCAAAGGCAGATCAGTGCCAATTACTCCTTTTTATTTTTTTGAAATGGGGTCTCACTCTCTGGCCCAGGCTGGAGTGCAGTGGGATGATCTTGGCTCACTGCAACCACCACCTCCTGGGCTCACGCAATCCTCTCGCCTCAGTCTCCCGAGTAGTTGGGACTACAAGCGTGTGCCACCACATCCGGCTAAATTTTTTTGTAGTTTTGTTAGAGATGGGGTCTTGCCATGTTGGCCAGGCTTGTCTCAAACTCCTGAGCTCAAGTGATCCACCTGCCTCAGCCTCCCAAAGGGCTGGGATTATGGGCTTGAGCCACCACACCCAGCCTAAGCCACCATGCCTAGCCCCAATGATTCTTAAATAAAAACAAGCTAAAAACACTTTTTAAATTGGGCACAGAAAACACATGCATATTTTAGTTTTACATAAAGAAAGACTCAAATCTAAGGAATGTATTATCTTACGCTCGATGTTTCTTATTCACGGGCCCACACGTCCAGGTCAAATATCACATTGCTAAAAAATGACTCTAGTATCTGTCCATAAGCCGCCACTGTGGTATAAATAAACTTTGTATTCAATTATATTATAATTTAAAACAATACATTCTATAATTATATTGATATTGTAAGAAATTGAAGCTTTAAAGATTTCTACTAAATACCAAGCTCAGATAAAAATTGCTTCCTGACTGTTACATATGTCACTAAATAATCATTTTATTTTTGTGTTTAATGAACTATTAAGTGATTGTCCAAGTCTTCAATTTTACGTGCCTGCAACAAAAGCACTATGGAAGCTTCCAGTCTTCTATTAATGCTCTGCAAATCTCACGACACAGATGTAGCAACAGAATGTCTTCCACAGAGGCTATTTCACAGGAGAGAACCAAGCGCTTTAGTCCACTCCTGCTGCTATGACAAAATGCCTTAGACTGGGCAATTCAGAAACAGCATAAATGTGTCTCACAGTTACGGGGGCTGGAAACTGGAGATCAAAGTGCTGGCTGGTTGGGTGTATGGGAAGGGCCCAGTCTCTGCTTTCAATATGGTGCCTGAATGCTCTTGTCCTCACATGGCAGGAGGGATGGAGGGGAGGCCACTCTCTGAAGCCTCTGTTATCTGAAGCCTCTGTTATAGGGACCAATGCTGTTCACGAGGGTGGAGCTCTCATGACCCAATCACTCCCCAGCCCTGGGACCCCCCACCCTCTAATACCATCATCTTGGTGATTAGGTTCCAACACAGAAATTGTGGAAGAACAGACACATTTAAACCATAGCACCAGGTATCTCAAATCATTACCATATGCACTGAGGCAGTTCACTTAACAGTTAGTTATACATTAGTTTAAACTAATTTGAAACAATCTGCACAACTACCCATTTATAAGAGACACTGAGACAGTCACATGAGAAAGAGCAAAGTCACCGATCGATGTAAACGCCAATAACCACACATCAGGGTCCTGCGGTCCCACCGTGTGCACACAGCCACAGCCTCTGAGAATTTCAGACCATAAGCATTCTGGCTCAGACGGGTGCTCAGCCAAAGGCCGCGGTGAGAACGTTTGGCTCTGTGGCCACAGGAAACCCTTAAGGTGTCACCAGAGGGTCCCTGCAGGTCTAATCATCCAACTTCAGGGCTACTGTCTGGGGTAAAGACAAACCCTGACCCAATCGACTAACCTTCCCTTTACCATGGGTGCCACACATTGCCTTTCCTTTGGGTTCCAGAGCTTTGCAAAGTCAAGCAGCCCCCCGCCCCGTCTGGAACCTGCCTCTGCACATGTGTATCTCTAGATGTGCATGACCACCTGTCCTGAGTCTGAAATGGAACTGGGCCATCCCAGAAATTCAGCTCTGACTCCCCTGGCTTCCATCTTCATTTTCCTTCATACAGGCTTTCCGTTAGGAGGCATCACACCTGCCCCCGCGCCCCTGCCACACACACGCACACACACCTCTGCTTCTGCCCAGCACTGCTGCTGGGCGGCCCCAACAGTGCCTTCCGGCGTGTGGTGGCCACAGCCCGGCTTCCTGGTGGGGACAGGCACTGGTGTCTACAGCTGACCCCAGGATGAGACGTCCTTGATGTAGCTACAGCAGCATCACCAAAAGTCTGAAGCCAGGAACCACTAACAATGGCCTCTGGGGCAGGTGGCGAAAGGCTTTTCTTGATCAGCGTTTCTCTACCATTTGATTCATGTGTTGCCTTTAATGGAATAACTACTGTTATCTATTCTCCATTCAGTATAAATTTTCCTGCAATGATAGTAAATTGCATCTCTATAGCAGACTTATTTAATGATCGTTAACTCTTAAAAACACTCCTGACCTGCTTTCTCATCTCACTCAGATGGACGTCCCTGCCCCCAACTCAAAAGCATCAGGGTTTGAAGGCTCCTGAGCAGCCCGCTCACCTGGTGGCCGCCTCCCATCCAGCTCAGAGGTGCCTCTCGCAGTTCACAGGAAACAGCAAACGGCCCGGAAATGTGTTACGAGGAGCAGCTGCTGAGCTGGGCAACCATTCAAAATGGTTTAGAGAAGAGAAACCTCCTCAGAACCAACTCCAGGTCTGCCCCATCTGCTGACACACGAAGCACTTCCAGTGGGGCCATCTCTCCTCTCCCCAGCGCCTACCAGTGCAGCCCTCACTCCCTGGGGGCCCTAAAGCCGCCTCCAGAGAGGCCCTTTCCTCACAGTTTGCACCTCTTATCTCTTGGCCCCTAAGGGCTCAGAGCCGCACAGCCCAGAGCAGCCCAGGGTTCCCCTCTAACAGTTTATCTGAGGGTGTCTTCTTCCTCCATCACTGGAATTACACCTAGACCCAGCAGGAGCAGGAGAGAGGTGTTGGAGCTACCAGTCATGGAGCCGCATGGTACCCAGCTCTGCATGGCCCGGGCCAAGGACGCTGATGCCCGCCTGGCATCCCACTGACTCTGGAATGAAGACAAAGGCCTGTTCCACCGGCTTTCCACAGCCCGGATCTCTGTGTGTAGATGGAGCCTACATTTCCATGTGGACTCTGAAAGGGGAGAGTTAATTTCACCAGGCCCTCAAATGTCCTTGCCAAGGTATCTTTGTGGCCTGTTTGATAATGTCGCCCAACTTCTTAGAGGCACAGAAAGTGCCATTGACACCTGCCTGTGGCGGTGAGCGCATCCTCGCCGCCCTGCACGGGGACAGAGCCCGTCTCAGTTCCCTCCCAGGCCCGGTGGGAGGGAGGAAAACCCAGGACTGCGGCAGAATCGAGACAATTTGACATCAGGCCAAGTCCTCAACACAAGCAGAATTAGTGCTAAGAGGTTAAAAGGTTATTTGAGGTCATATGGATACGACACAGGTCAGGAACGCTGAGAAGTTGATTAATATTATTGTGTAATATTAATGTTAGTAGCAATTAACAGCAGCATGCAGGTAGGTAAACAACCATGAGAAGAGAAAGGTGAGAGGAAGACAAAGTGAAGACTCACATCCGGGTGAGGGATGGCATACTGTCCCTGGATTGTGTAGGCCTAGAGAGAAGTAGAGAGAGAGACCCTGTCAGACCGCGACCTGGCTGCACCGCGGCTCAGCACCCGCCGCCACCCTCCAGCATGACAAGGACACTCCGGTAGAAGCTTCCCCTCATATGCCTCTCCACCTGTCTCCATCCTAGGACAAAAGGCCAACCCTCCCAGGGCACCAGGAGCCCCAGGGGAGCCGAACCCACTTCCTCTAGGCAGGCAGAGCTGAGCTGGCCAGGTCAGTGAGCAGGAGGGAAACCAGGGGAACCGTGCCCACTTGCTCTGGGCGGGCAGAGCGGAGCTGGCCAGTTCAGCGAGCGGGAGGGAAACAGTTCAGCTTTGATGCTTCCGACACCAAGTTTCTTAAAGCAAAAGAATCAAAGAGTTATGTGTCTGGCCCCCAGTAAGAGGTCCACTAGTTACTAAGGTTTTGAAAATGTAATCAGCCAACTGAGTAAACACTTTTGGGAAATATTAACCCCAAGAAATTCAAACAACAAAAGAAAGCTCTAAAAGGTGACCAAAAGCAATTCACCAAAAGCCAGTCTACGTAGGAAGCGGTCTACGTCAGTCAGGGCTTGCTGCCTTTCATGACCGCCCTGAAGACAGGGAGGGGGCGGCCCTCCTGACGTGGGGGCGGCAATGCGCCCCTCCAAAGCCGTCGTGTGGGGCTCCTGAGGCCTCACTTTGGGTTCAGTATTTCCCCTGCCTTCAGAACAGTGACTCCGACCTGCAGCCTCTTCCCGCCCACCCTGACTCTGAAATCCGGGCAGGTGAGCGAGGCCCCACTTGCCCCACAGGTCCCATCAGTGGAGACGCTTTCAAGTGATTCAGAAACTCATGGCCAGACAACAAATGGATCACAGAGAATCAAGGGAGAGTGAAGACCACGAACAGCTGTCAGGACTCGGGCCCGGTGGCGGCCTGGGGGTGGAGGGAGCGGCTCCCAGCTCCTGGCTGTGTGGGCCCCACGCCACTTCGCCTGAGGACCTGTGGTGTCGGTGTCTGCGGTGACCACATGTGGGGCCCTGGTGCACCTGAGAGGGACGCCCCTGACTGTGCGGGCCCCACGCCACTTCCCATGAGGACCCATGGTGTCAGTGTCTGCGGTGGCCACACGTGGGGTCCCCGTGCACCTGAGAGGGACGCCTCAGGGAAGGATGCATGTCACCTCTGTGCAGCCCAAACCCTCCCATGGGTTTTGAATCTGCCAAGAGTTTTCATCATAAACAACCCAATCCTGCGAGTTAAAGGCCAATCGACCTCCAGACAGGGATCCGGCCTGCAGCCCGGCTCTGAAACAAGCCCCAGGGCTGTGAGGCCACAGTGCTGCATTGGCTGAGGAAGTAAAAGAATCTTATCAGGTAGAGCAGGAACCAAGGGCCTCACTGTCCTGGACAGTGTCTTGAGGACCAACTGCGAGGGTTTTGTAAAGGTGCTGCCAGGAGCATGTTCCCACGTGTCACCGAAGGTGAGGGGCCCGTGTTGCCAGGAGCATGTTCCCACGTGTCACCGAAGGTGAGGGGCCCGTGCTGCCAGGAGCACATTCCCACGTGTCACCGAAGGTGAGGGGCCCGTGCTGCCAGGGGCACATTCCCACGTGTCACTGAAGGTGAGGGGCCCGTGTTGCCAGGGGCACGTTCCCACGTGTCACTGAAGGTGAGGGGCCATGGAACTCATGCTGGGAGCTGCCCCCTCAGGGCACAGGGTCCCAGGTCAGCCCCGACTGTCTGAGCTGAACAGCAAGAGCTCAAGCATACTGCATCCTGGGCCACATGAGTTTTCTGACTGATCTTCTTACTGTTGTTATGTTTTCTATCTGCTCATCCCTTAGCAGGCTCTGCTGATTAAACTCATGACCATGTTGTGCTAGAAACGTGGTGGTGGCTGACAGGAGCTGCTGCTGGGTGCAGAGGCCACAGGGGAGCTGTGTGGGCACCCCCAGAGCACTCACAGTGGTGGGGCATCTTCCAGGTCCCTGATTTCTCCAACTGGACAGAAATGAAGTGGATGGGCCTCCAGGTGAGCTCTCAGGTCCGTATTGGGTTGTGTGTCCTAGTCTAGGCCCTGTGGGTCTGAGTTGTCAAGGAGATGCCAGTGGCCTTACAGGCTCAGGTCTTACTCGTGCCCACATGTCTGGGTTTGCATTTCGGCAGCTCCCCTGGGTTACCTCAGGGCGGGTAACTCCCTGCGACTCTGTCCTCCACCACCAAGGCTGACCACTGGCCAGACCAGACTGTCACTAGGGCCCCAGGGCCCAGCTCTCAAAGGGCTGACATTTTAGTATCAGCCTTGGGACAGCACCCACTGCACAGGGCCCTTCACCTGCTGCAGTCGGGAGGGTGGGCTACTGCCCTCTTTTCAGGAGTGAGGGGTGCCTGGCCAGTGGCTGAGCAGGGCTCAGCTGCACCCCCCCTCTCCTGGAGCTGTGACTCCACCCCCAGTGGCTTTAAGTGACTCCACATGTGTTTGTATAAATACACCTTCCTTTTGAAAAAAATCCTACCTTTTACCACATGATATCATCATGGATTTGTTTAAACATCAAGGTGGAGTCCACAGGTTACAAACCCGGTTACCTAACCATGAATTTGGGGAAAGCAGTGAAATGGAGTTTTGCACAGGGACTTCTCCCGCTGTGTGACTCCGTGTGGCCCTGTGACCTGAGCCCCCTAAGTCAGCGAGGTAAGGACATGTCCCATTGCCCACAGGGCTGTGACACGAGGCAAATCCCTGGCTAGCCAGGCCCAGTTTCCTGGTTATAAAATGGAGGTGTGCCGTGTCCTGGGGCTGCTGTAAGGATAGTATGTGCATGTGGGTGCTCCCTGACCACAGCAAGGCAGGAAGGGGTGGGTGCCAGGCTGTGGAGGCGAGGCCAGGGTGGGGGAAAGGCATGCCCTGCCCTGAGCACACGGGACCCCTTGGAGGGAAGGGATGGACACACTCCGTCTCTCCCTCAAACGTGGGCCACAACTGGGAGATCTGATAAGATTCCTTTACACCGTAAAGAAAAGCACCAGGAAAAGTCCTAACATTTGCCTCTTCTCTCCTTTTTGATGGTAAAGTCAAACCTCAGGCCCGTTCTGCCCTGCCAGGGTCACCTGTGGGGACGTCTGTCTCAACTCTCCCTTGAACAAAGACATACATGGCAGCCGACTGGACGCAGAGCTCTTCCAGGCCAACCCCCGCTGGACACCTTTGGTCTGTTGGCCACAGAGTGGCCCTGGGTGGACGGGTGCTCCCCATGCCCTGGCCAGGGTTTGGGCTCAGATGAGCGGCTGGGGCAGGGCTCCCCTCCTCCACTCTCCTACAGAAGTGCTGCCATCCCTGGTGGGAGAACACAAAGCTCGAGGGCTGACACCAAAAGGGCCAGCTCTGCAGACTGGGCGTGGGGTGCCCACGAGGCCCCTGCTCACAGCGGAGGGAGGTCTGGGCACAGCGGCACAGACACCCGCTGGTCGGGCCACACGTCCTTCCTCGGTGCAGAGCTCCCCCTTCTCGCGTGTCCCTGCTACGAGCACATCCTGGGAGTTTGGGATGTCAGGGGAAACAAGACCCTGGCTCTCACCGTGCTGTTTCCAACGTGAGCGGTGAAGTCACCTAGAAGGCGCCTGCATGCTGGCTATCTAAGCTTCCTAAAAACACCCAGTTCCCAAGAACGGGATTTAGGCCGAGCCAAATCTTCCTGCCTGGGTCAGGGAGGGAGAACATGATCCCTTGGGGCCGTCTCTGTGGGGGGATGCCGCTCTGAAGGCCCCCTGCGCCCGCCTGGTGCTAGGTGTAGGTGGAAGAGCTCTGCCTCCAGCACGGGTGGGAGACGTGCACGTGAGAAGGCGAGAAAACCTGAGTGCACTAACGGGCAGCGGCGGGTGCTGCAGTAAAAGGCTGAGGTTGGCAGTGGAGGCCGCGAGCGGATCGGCTCTTACCTGACCACCTGCAAAAATGACAGGGGTGGAGGCGGGCTTTGGGCGGTAGGGAATGGTGGCACCTTTCGGTGGGGACTAGGAAAAGGGACAGGAGAGGAAGAGAGAGCGTTAGAGCAGCTTCGCAGCCTGGTAATGGAGAGGCGCGTCCCGGCCCAACCCACTCACCCGCCTGCACCGGCTCCACCCTCCCCACACCTCCCTGAGTTTCGCAGCAGTGCTGGGGGAGGGGAGTGAAGACCTCCAGCCCCCACACCCTCTGTGTGGCTGTCTTACGGCCCGTCCCTCCAGATGGCTCCTTTTTGCAGAGCCCTGCGCTGCAGTTTGCCACATACCGGCCTCCTGAGAGTACTACCTGCCCCAAACATCCCTGGGAGGCTCTGTGGCAGTGTGGAGGGTCAGTCCCATTGTGGGAGGCCAGGTGGGGTCGGTCCCTTGCGCATGAGACCGTGCTGGACAAGGGCTGGCCGCCAACCCAGACGGCCCCTGTGGTGCTGGCCCCTCCGCGGGGGACCCTCCTGGGATGCGCAGGGCCTTGCAGGCCAGGCTGCATGGCTTCACGGGGAGCTGCCCCTTGGAGCAATTCTCTTGAATGCTCTGAAGAAACTTGAGCCCTGCAGGACTCCACCGGGACCCATGTCCAAAGCGCTTGGCTTGGCCTGTGGTGACAGTCAGCAGAGATCTTCACAGAAGACTTGGAAACATCCCACTTCACTATTTGAAAAAGCATGTTTAAAGTGCTTACAGACTCCAAAGGAAAAATCCCCTAGTTATGATGAGGTTGGCCGTAATTTCCCTTGGTTATTCTGTCGGAAACAGAGGATTAACATTCTCAAGCGCTGGCATTTTGAGCCTGCCCTGTTTCTCCTGGGCCAGTCCCCTGTGTGACCGTCCCCCGGGCCCAGGTCAGGGAGGCAGGAGTCCTGGGTCTAGGGGGCACCACAGCTGGGTTTGGTCCAGCAGGGAGAGGTGGGGGCTGGAGCCCATGAGCCGTTCCTGGCAGGGGGCAGCCTGTCCTGCTGGGAGTTCTAGGGCCTTGGCTGACTCAGGGCCAGCCCGGCACTCAGGGAGTGCCACTCACACTCAAAACCCCATGATGGGGAGTGGGTGCCTGGATCCGCAAGGCCAGGGTCCTGGGGTGTGGCCTCAAGTACTGTGGGGAAGGGGATGCTAGGCGGGTCTGGGCTGACTCAGGTTGGGTCTGGGGTGGGAGGAACTGACTAAGGTGGACAGGAGCCGCCGCCACCCTCCCTGACTCCCCTCGGGCTGGTGCCCCGTGCTATGGGCCCTCAACCCCTACCCCGGCACAGGAGCTCCCAGCTGACCCTGACCTGTGATTCCTGCTTCTTGTGTGGGCACGGGGCCTGCTGGCCTCCCCTGGGACCGCACGAGCCTCCCTGCACTGGGTGCAGGGGTGCTGGGCCCTGGGTGGGCAGGGCACCATCTGTGGCGATGTCGTTATTCTCGGCGGGCCCCACCCAGACTCATGGCACCCTGGGCAGCCCTTTCCTCCGTCATCTCCCGGGTGTGAGGTGAGGCATGCCCACTACCAAGCCCAGAAGTCCTGCAATCAACCAGGAGGGTCTTCAAGGCATCCTTAATTTATTTTTCCAGTCACTCTTCATCTGAGGGCGGACCCAGCTCTTTCCAGGTGTGACAAATCTTCCTCCCTGGGATGATGGCCCCTGGGCCTCGGGATGCTGCACAGCCAGCAGGAGTGAGGGCAGCTGCCCGGCCATCTTCCCTGGCCACGTATGCTATGAGCTCCCTGTCTTGCTCAAACCTCCCTGCCCAGGAAGGAGACAAGGTGGTTGGGATGACAGCCCTGGGGGCGTGGGCAGCCTTGGGACAGCGGGTGCACCTGCATCTGTGGAGCTGCAGCTGGCACTGCACCGGGACGCAGCTGCAGAGGCACTGGGTGGCACTGACGAGACCCACGTGTTGCTGAGGAGCTGGACCTCAGCCCTCCATTAGGGATGTCCCTCCTAGAACTGTTGGTGTCACTGGCTGCTGCTAAGCCTCGGCCGGCAGGGCCCCCAGGGCCCGAGACTGGAGGGTTGAACAGAGAGTTCCGACCAGCATGGCACTGTCACCCTAACCAGGGAGTGGGGACTATTTCAGAACAAGAATATTTTGAAAAATATTTTTGACTTCACAAAATATCAAACTTCAGGGAGACAACTATACAAACATTTTTTAAAGAGGCAAACACGGGGTTTGAACCCCAAGCCAAGTATGAGAGAGGAGTGAGCCTGGGCTGCAGGAGGGGCTGGAGGCTGACCCTGCAGAGCTGCTAGAACCTTCCATTTGGGGTGATGCTTCTTCATTTTTGCTTCAGGAAAGACTGGCAACTGTTGATAGCTTCATGAATTTTGAGTATATTTCCGAGATTTTTTTCCTCTCCCCAAAATTTCACGAGAGGCGTCTGCTCTGAGCCGGTCCTTCTCTGCTTTTCCGTTTTAATGCTTTTGTTCACCCATCTCTACTTCTGCATGGGTTTCGTATGTTTTCCCGAGTTCTGCCCTCTGTTCCTCCACGGTGGTTTAAAACGATGCCTCCTGCAGAACTGCGTGAGCAGAGCAGCCTACTGCCTTTGCCTCCCTCCCACCCCCAGCTGCCGGCCAAGGCCTGGCTCCAGCGTAATGAGCACCATTTCTGCAGCTCCAACTCAGTGCAGAAGACCCCTCAGTGGGATGACAACTTCGTATCCAACTCTGAAGATGAGAGGACAGGCTCCCTCCTCTCCATCTGCTCTCCCCTAGAAGCCTCATGGAGACACTGGACCCTGAGCTGGCAGCCCCAGCACCCCTATGGCACCCACACCGACACAGCTCTCGTTCAGGCTGCCTTGGAAGCCCAGGTCAGGAGCCCTCCACAGTCCCAACTGTGTGAGTCCTCGGGGCAACCGGGGCTTCCAAGCCTTTGCCTATAGTGCCAGGAGGCCAAACACAGCACTGACGTGGGCTGGTCCTGGCATGCAGACGGTACCTCCAGCATGACCACACAGATCTGCTTGACACACTGGATGATGGCATCTGGGGTCCCCGAGATGGTCACCGCCCGCTCCGTGGAGTTGGGCAGCATGTCCCCGGCCACCTGCACCTGGGCACCTGTGGACTGGAGAGAGGGGACGTTGGAAGGGAGCACCAGGGTGGCAGCACGTGGGGCAGCAGCACCTCCCGGGTCTCGGCACCCAAGGCAGCTTGAGAACACTTCCTTAGAAACCTGCATACAGCCCACGCGCCCCTCCCCCGCCCCCATCCCAGCACCGCCCCTGCCACCACAGACTGGCACTCAGTCACGTGCCCCCCCGCCCCCATCCCAGCACCGCCCCCGTGCCACTGCTGCCACCACAGCCTGGCACTCAGTCACATGCCCCCTCCCCCGCCCCCATCCCAGCACTGCCCCCGTGTGCCGCTGCTGCCACCACAGCCTGGCACCCGGCCCTATGCCTTCCCTCGGGCGCAAGTGACACCTGGCCAAGGCTAGACAGGAGGCATCTAACCAGACGCGTTTTCAGGGAGACAAATGACTCCTTTCAAATAGATGGAATTCTCTCTCTGTGGAGTTTTAGGTCACAGAGAAAGGTGGACTCTGGTCTTGGGAAAGGAAATGAAGATTGGGGCGGCTGCCCTGCTGCGTAGGGAAAGGATTCAGGCTTTCCTTGAAACGGGACAAATGTGTGAATGTGAAGTTCACACCTGCAAACTCTGCCCATTGGGACAGGCCGATGGCTCAGGGCTGTCTCCAGGTGCCATGGAGGCCCCTCACAGGGAGCAGATACAGTGCCCAGTGCCCAGAGCCTCCCTTGCCCAGAGCCATGAGACCAGCTAGTTCCTCCCTGTCCCCAGCATGGCCTATAGGTGTGCAGTTGGTAGGCAGGATCCATAGGTGAGCAGTGGGTGGGGGGTCCATAGGTGGGCAGTGGGGGGGGGTCCATAGGTGGGCAGTAGAGGGGGGAGCTGTGGGTGGGAGGGCTGTGGTGGGGCCGGGTCCCTGCAGCACACTTGCACTTGCTCATGGGTCCTGTGTTCCTGTTTCGGACTTGGAGCTGTGGGGTCTGCATGGCCAGCACTGGGCTTACAGACTGCAGGGATGAGGCTCAGGAAGGCTGCCTGGCCTGTGGCCACCACCCGCAGCCTGCCTAGAGGCTCCGCAGCAGCCCAGGCTGGGAAGGTCCTGTTACCTCCCTGATCTCCTTGATCTTGGAGCCTCCTTTGCCGATCAGGGACCCGCACTGGCTGGCAGGCACCACCAGCCTCAGCGTCACTGGGGGCTTGCTGGTGGCAGGGCTGTTGCTCATGGAGTTGATGATATCCTAGGGGAGAGACACGTGTGTTGGCAGCACATCAGGCCTCACACAGTGAGAAAGCAGGAGGAGTGCAGGGGGTGCGTCCTGACTTCTCACGCTCAGAAGCCCACAGAGCCCCTCCCGTGCACAGCCGAGGACACAGTGGCCAGGCCAGGCCAGGGAGGACCAGGAGATGCTGCTGAGATGGACGTGCAGGCCCAACACGGCACACAGACGGCAAGGCAGGATGGTCACTGTGCCATAGTGGGGTTGGGGCAGGTCTGGCCTTGGTCGTGGAGACCTGGTGGGCAGGGGGTGTGGCTAGACAGACTGACACAGGAAGTGTAGACACTGGCCTAAGGGGAGGGGAGAATGGAGGCTGGAGACTAGCAGGGCTGGGTAGATGCCCAGGGCCAGGTGAAGCAGCGCTGCCAGGGACAGGCCACAACTAGGTGTCGAGGGCACGGGGGCAGAGAATGGCTCCTGGGGTCTGGTCTGGGGAAGGAGACGTGTGGTTAACGTAGAAGTGTGAGGGGGCAGCAAAGGCTGAGGGGGGGGTGAGCCAGTGCCCACCGCCCTGGGCAGCTGGTGTTTGGCTCATGGTCCTGACACCCAGGAGACGCAGCTGGGCTTTGGGTTCAGGCTGGTAACCCATGGGGGACAGGGCTTCCATCAGCTGCATGGGAAGTGTCCAGGCTGTGGCCTGGAGCTCGCTGCAGAGCGCGGTAAAGAGCTTGGCAGAGGCAGTGACACGGAGGCTCCCCCAGACCCCCCAGCTCTGGGTCCATCATGCCTGAGCTATGATTCAGGGCAACACAATTTGGACTCCACAAAAAGTGCCCTCTTAGAAACAAGGCCTGGGTCAGTGTGTGCCTGGACAAACTGCTATAGACTACCAAGAAAATAGGATGCTGTTCCCGTTTGTCTATTTTTTGTGCTAGGAGCTTGACTTTGACCCAGAGCGTTCTCTCCGGTGTTGTACCTGCTGGGGCTGGGGAGAGCCTCTGTGTGTCAAGGCTGGGGACCTGAGGCACAGGCACGGGCACTGAATTCCCACTTCCTGCCACCCGCTCTCATGGGGCCATGTCTCCATCTCCTCCTCTCCCAGGAAAACTCTTGAATGGACTCATTGCAATCCGGACTCGGGTGCCTGTTTCTCCAGTGGTTTCAATTCCCCAAGGATGACTGGGCCTCAGTGGCTGCTCTGGGGAACATTTGACTTTAACAAAATTGTTCATTGAGAGGCACCTTAAAAAAGAAAGATAATAAGATTTTTTCAGGCCCAATGGGCAGCGTCTTTTGATTGGTATGAAGAGGCCTCCAAATGAAGTTCTGATTTAAAAATAGCTTCACTAAACATTCTTCGGCTAAAGCTAGTCAGCAACCTGGCAGACATCAGCAACAAACCAGACCCCCAGGCTCATAAGCTCTCCCCTCCTTTTCCTCCCACTGCCCCTGCCCAGCACTCCCCCTGCCCTGTCCTTCCCTTCCAGTTCCTCCATCGACTCCACCTCTATCTTTTCCAGCCCTCCTAAAACCCGCAAATGCCAGCTGTCTGTAAAAACCCAACCCCCCAAAAGCCAGGTGAATAGGCAACTCCAGAAGCTAACCCTTGGATTGCAGCTGAATTCAGAGCTGTACTTATGGATTCCCTACACCCAGACCAGACCTGCAATGACCAACAGAAGAATTTAGAATTATTTTGGTTGCACATGACCCAGAGTTACCTGAACTCTGTCAACAAATAAACCCGAGGATCAAAAAAGGTCCCACAGCAAAGTCCTAAATGCCACTCCTAAAACATCCCCAGCAGGAACTGATTAGAACAATCACAAACACAGCTGTAAGATGAAACGACTGGAGATTGGGGGACAGACAGAAAGTCCCTTCTGACAACCCCGACTGTCTCTACCCTTCAAGGCTGGCATGAGGGCAGCCCTGTCGCCCCATGAGGTCAGCGCTGGCTTGAGGGCAGTCCTGTCGCCCCATGAGATCAGCGCTGGCGTGAGGGCAGCCCTGTCGTCCCATGAGGTCAGTGCTGGCATAAGGGCAGCCCTGTCGCCCCATGAGGTCAGTGGAGTGAAGCCCCACGCGAAAACAGAAATGGGGATGGGAATAGCCCTTCTGCTGAATGACAGCCACTGGCAGAACACACTGAAAAAGCTCTGGAACAAAAATGAGCCAGGATTCCTGCAGGTCAGAGAGCTAGGCGCCCCTCACCAGCCCCAGCACTGGACAAGGACGCTCATTATAGCTGCTGCATTCAGAACGGACGTCAGAGAAAAGATGATCCCATCCCCATAAATAACAACTGAGACACAGAAAGATCCTGGGTCCAGGCAGTGAGGGAGCCCGACGAAGGAACGGGCGGCCGCCATCCCACCTGGCCTTCAGCCCTCAGAGTGACTAATGCTGGACGCAGGTGGTCTTCCTCATCCTCCTGGTGGCTATGGCGACTGTTCTTACATCCGACCTGCAGAAAGGTCTCATGTCATCCTCCTCCTCAGTTTAGATACACCACACCCTGGAAGGCATTTCAAATAACCCGCCGTGTTTTCTCTCCCTATTCCCAGCCCTGAACTCTAACCCTTGGGCCCTTGACTGGAAAACATTCATTCCTGCTCTGGGACTCCACCCCTGAAAATTTAGTAGGCAGAGACTTTGCTTGAAAATGGAATGGCATCTTAAATGCACATCAGAGACACTGTTTCCTGAGCTCCTAGAGAACTCAGCCCACTGGCAAGCTGTGTGGGCTCTGGGCAGACCCCCGCCTCACGAGGTGGGTGCAGACTCCAGACAAGGGTCTTGACGCTGCACCTGACACAATCCCACTAACACAGGCAAAATGACTGGGGCGGAGCCTCCAAAGGCTCTGAGAGGTTCCACCAAAACATGACCCGAAATTCTCCACAATCCCGTGACACCAAATCCAAAAGAAGGGCTCAAACTACTGATACCAAACAGACAGAGATACTGATCTGCTGAAGACCTCAGGGCCACCAACAAAATTATTCTCCCTTACTTCCTAGGTGTACTGAACCAAAACACAACTTCGCTGTCCATTCTTCCCAAAGCCACTTGCTTCGTGGTGGCAGGTGTTCACGCTGTCCCTCCAGGGCTGCCGCTAGACCAGGAGAGTGAGCATGTTTTGTCCTCACTGGGAAGGACAATGATTAACCTGGACAGTCACGCCCTGGGGGTCACTGAAGCCCTCTCCTGCTTTTTCCAGGTGCTCATTAAGACCTAGAAGACCTACATCTCCCTAGCAATTCAGTTCAGTCCTGGTGACGCCCTCCTTTGTTCAAGACAAGGAAGCCTGTGGAGGGACCCTACCCACCTGCAGCCTTAGCAGACTCCTGCTAAGAACCCCAGCCTAATGTCCTACTTCACAAGTGAAGCTGGAGGTGATCAGGCAGAGCCTGTGCTACAGAACCGGACCAAGTTCGTCCACTGAAACCCTGATCCTTTGTGTGACTGTTTAGAGATGGGGCTTTACAGAGGTAACTAAGGTAAAATGGGGTGCCTACAGTAGAACCTAATGTAATCTGACTCGTGTCCTTGTAAGAAGAAGGGACGAGGATACTGACACACACAGAGGGGTGACCCTGTGAGGACCCAGGAAGAAGGTGGCGTCTCCAAGTCAAAGAAAGAGGCCTCAGAGGAACCGGCCCTGATGGCACCTTGATCTGAGACTTCCAGCCTCCTGGACTGTGAGAGAACCAGCGTCTGCTGTGTAAGCCGCCCAGCTGTGGCATTTTGCAATGGCAGCCCAAGCAGGCTGGGACAGTGTGCTGCTGCTAACCTGGCTCTCCTTCGGCACAGTCCCCTGTGGTGGGGAAAGTCTGCCAGATACAGAACTCATCACACTCGCCGGCACTTGTCAACTAGCCAAGGGCCCGTGGCGGTGGATGCTCTGGAAACAGAGGGGCTTTTAGCTCTGCTGGAAGCCCACCCAACATGGGCCGCGTGCTGAGTTCTCAGGCACACTTCTTCTTAGAGAGGTGGTGACTGCAGATGTGAGGCCAGTGCAGATGGAGATGCGGACGTTGGGGAAGGTGCTCTGGGGGGTCATTCTGGCCAACCAGTGCTTTAGCCACGGCTGACTCCAGCCAAGCCTTGAAGGCTGGATCTCTGGAGGCAAGCAGAGGCCATTGTAAGATTTCAACACTTCGCCCCCGATTTTGAAAAGGAAGAATGGACAAATTCTGAAAATTCTGGTTGTACCCTTTACTCAATCTTTTCTGGTGCCCTCAAGACAGCTGGCTTTGGTACCAGATGATTTCAAATGGGTATTAGCTAAGTCAATCCATGACACTACTCATCATGCCGTAGACAAATTGATGAATATCTCCAATCAGCACTGGTGGAAGCTTTACAAAGACTGCTGAGGTTCTTTGAAGGCCAGGTATCTGTCAACAGCACAATCCAACATGGTGTGAGGGTGAGACGACGCCCCAGAGCGACGCCTCAAGGGCCCTCTGAACACCTTCAGGTAGATTTTAACCAGCGTCCACCTGGGACTGGAAATGCTTTCATTGTTGTGTGTCTGTTTTCAGGACGGGTTGAAGCATTTCCTTGTTTAAAAGCTATAGTCCTTAAAGTTGCTTAAAAAAATTCCTTGATTTTGTATTTCCAAGCTGAAGCATACCAACTTTTACATGAAGTGATTGAGAAATACATTTTACACAAACCATTATAACAGAACTCTGTGAGTGGTTACCCTTTACTCAAGAACAACACTGTCCTGACCATCCACAGTCTTCTGGAAAAACCGAAGGACCCAAAGATGAAAACTCCGAATCCTTCGAGCTTTCTTGGCCATACAGTCTGCTTGCTTGGAGACACCTCAGCTCTCCCTCCATGGACTGATGACTGGAGGGCTCGTACCTTTAGGGATTCCTGATACTCGATTCTGTCCTGCTGCAGGCAGAGATGGCAAATGACTGCAGAGGACTCAGCACAGCCCTACGTAACCTACGTAATCGCGTAGGTTACGGCTGCTTCCCACGACATCTTCCCAAACATCCTCCTTAGGTTCTTCAACCAGGAGATTTTGTCTATTGGAAGGGACATCAGAGAAAATCTGTTTCTCTAACCTCATTGGAAGGGGCCCTACCAGGTACTGCTAACAAACCCAGCAGTGAAACTCCAAGGAATCAGTCCTTGGGTTCACATTTCACAGCCAAAGTGGCGATTCAGAATTCCACACAACCAGAGAATGACTCCCATACAGGACCTCAAACTGAGGTTCTCTGAGATCCTCTAGAGGCAGCCATTCTTCAGAAACAGATGGCTGATCCGAGACCTTCCTGCAAGCTGAAGACCTTGGACAAAGGCCAGTTTCTGCTCAGGTGTCCTGACAAGACCTCTGTCTGATTTGTTTCCTTTTTTATCTGCTTACATTTAATCACTCTCCCACTCATTCTCCACGGGCCCCTGGTTGTCATCCACCTCTGGTCCCTTTTCTATTTTCTTTTCACTTTATGATAATTGTTAGCTTAACACATATTCATTCTAATGCCATTCTTGATTATCCCAAACAGTAACCACTGCCCTCACTCTCACTGACTACTGGACACACCGCCCACCACCAGGCCCCAGGGAGGAAAATCTCGAGACACGCCAATTTCATCAAATGGGACCCTGGGGGATGACAGCTGATGCTTTCCGCTTGCATCTACATGGACAACTGACTCTAAACAAATCACCTGTGACTTTGCTAGCATCCCTTTCTCCTAGAAAAGCAACCAATTATTAAAGTTTACTGATCAGTCCCCAGGTCATTTGAAACTTAAATTCAGCAACCTGCATAGGGCAACCAGCCGTTAAACACTGGCCACGAGGGAGAAACAAAGACAGGTCCCAACTGAAGCTGGAGGGCACAGGCCTCGGTTCTAACCTCTTGGCCTGAGCCACAGCCCTTCCCTGGTCTCCATATGCCTCCACCAGACACTGCTTCCTTGGGGCCAGTCACCAGGCCCTGCTGGCCTCAGATGAATAACTCAGACACCTTAGGAAAGGTATCCTGAGACTTCTTTGTACATAGAGACCCTAATTCTATAATCTCCACAGCTGGAAATTCTGACTCAAACTTAAGTTCCAAAACCAGGCCACCTGTGATTATGTGTGTGCCCTGTGGGAGGGATGACTGAGTGTCTCCCACAGTGGGAATCACACAGGCAGAAACTGCGGTCAGAAACGCATCGCCAACTCCGGCAGAAGTTATTCGGGACACCGCCTGCCCTGGGTGGAAGATGTGTTGGGCATAAGCAGCGGTGGGTAATTGCTTTTCTGCAGGTTTCTTGCTGGCCAGCCATGCTGGCGTCTGTGCCACTGCACATGCCATCTGTAGAGCGAAGGTCCCAGGAGCGGGCTGCCCAGCACCCTAAGGAGCGGCCATGAGGCTCTCCGAGGCTGGTCCTCATGGCTATGGGATGTGTCCTCTTGCCTTGGGTTGGGTAACAGCGCTCTTGGTCTCACCACTGTCCAGGGACTCGGTTGTTCTTGTTTCTGTCTTGGTGTCACGATGCTGGTCTGCTGCATTCCATCAGTCTCCCGTCAGGCAATGGCCAGGATGACTCAGCAACAGAAAGATCCCGAGGACCCCACAGCACAGCTGACCAAAAAGGCAACTGAACCATCCCCAAGCAGCGTGACCTGGCTCTCTAGCCTTTCCTGAACTGGCTATCCTCTTGCAAATGAGAGAGTAGCTAAAAGGGGAAACTAAGAAACAACCTCCAGACAGTGGCTAGGCCACCTATGATAGGGGACACTGGCCCCAGTGTCCGCAGCGTCCAGCCCTGGAGGCCAGGCCACAGCCTCTGCTGCACTCGGCCCTGAGCAGTCAGCTTCCCTCATGTGCGTCCCCAGTTCCAACTCAGGACCCACTGGAAAAGGCCTCGCACGCTCCCCCAACCAGTCACATGGGATGTCCCACTTCTAGCCCCACTGCCTCCCCCAGGGCACATCCCTCTTCTCCTCTCCCACACCGAAGTTCCCCCTCCTGCCTGACTTTGAGTCTCTGCCAAGCACAGAAGATGGCACCGACCACCACCATGGCCAGCTTTGAATACTAAAGAGCCTCTGCCCATTCTCCCTTGGAGAGCTCTTCGCTTATTCCCACAAAGTGCACCTCATTACTTAATGGTCACCCCTCAAAGACACTAAATGCATCCCTAACTTCCAGCAATTTCAAGAAAATTAGAAACACATAGAAGACATTATAATTTCACTCAATGACAGAATACACAGAAGTGCTGCTCTTTCTTTCTCTCTCCCCCTCGCTCTCTGTCTCTCTCTCTGTCTCTGTCTGTCTCTCTGTCTCTCTTGTCTCTGTTTCTCTCTCTCTCTCTCTCTCTCTGTGTCTCCCTCTGCCTCTCTCCCTCTGTTTCTTTCTCTCTGTCTCTGTCTCTCTCTGTCTCATAACCACCAACATGGATGGTCTCTACCTTTACCATCCATATCTAAGCCAGGCTACATCAGCTCTCATGGGGAGCCCAGAGGCATGGTGCTGTGTGGCTGAGGACCAGGGCTGTGCCAGCCAGGGCTTCGTCACGAGCCATGTGGCAGAGCTGGCTGGAGGCTGGAGGTGCTGCTGGTGGGGCCTGAGGGTCAGCCAGGCTGCATGCCCCGGGGGGAAGGGTGGGGTGTTCTGAGGCCATGCTAGGTGCCCCAACGCAGGGTCTGGGGAAGCTGAGGGAGGTGGACTTAAGGCACATAGCCGGGAGTAGCTGGCTTCAGAAGGACAGAGGGACACTGGCCCCTGACTGGGTGAACCAGAGCTGGGGAGAGGCCCTGGGAGGTAAAGGAGGTGAGTGTGGTTATGGGGCTGCCTGGGCGGGCTGGGGCATCCCCTAGTCCAGGTACAAGGGAGAAGGCCCAGGGAGCCAGCTGGGACCATGCCCGCCCCCACCAGGCTGGCCAAGGTTCCCCGGGATGCAGGTTACCTCCTCAAACTTGTATGCGATCATGGCAAAGGCCTTGAAGATGGCGTCTGTGGGGCCTGTGATGGTCACAATCCTCTCTGGGCAGTTTCCCTCTGAGATGTTGATCCTCGCACCACTCTAGGGTGAGAGCAGAGAAACCCTTGGGCCAGTGGGCCGGGGGCCAAAGTCCGTTGACAATTGACACAAACACATGCCTCTGTCCGCTGACTGGCAAACTACGAATGAACAGTAAAATGCTTCTCAACAATCTCCTTTACAAGGAAATTTTAATTAGCAAAAGGAATTCAACGGATTCCTTCCCCACAGGGAAGCACAGGAGGCCCGAGTAGGGGGAAAGAGGCCCTGCACTGCACTCCCCACAGGCCCCGGCCGAGAGCACAGGCAGGATGTCAGCAGGGGCAGAGCCTGGGGACCCTCCCTGCTCACCCGGGAATCTGCAGACAGGTCAGGACCCACCACACTCACCTCCTCACGCATCTTCTTCACAGTTTCTCCTTTCTGGAATAAAGATTTAGACAATAAGGAAAAGGCGTCCCTTTGGCACTGAGGACAATGCGGCCAGGGTGGGTGGGGAGCGGCCTGGCCCATGTGCCCACACCACAGAGCCTCCCACCTGCGCTGGAGGAGCAAACCAGCCTCTCCACTAAGGCCAGGCTTCATGCCCACCACGCCCTGGCGGACATTTCGGATGGGAAACTGAGGCCCAGGAAGGCAAGTGCACCCACCTACGGGCACACAGCTGGCAAGGGTGGTGCAGGTCTGACCTGACTCCCCACGGCAGCTCACTCGTGGCACGTGCCAGTGTGTGTGCCCTCAGGCGCCCCCCACGGCCAGCTGCGCTCTGGCTCGCCCTCCCGGAGGTGGTGACTCTCGGAGACGCACCCTCTCAAGCGCTTGGGAGGAAGCCGGGACAATGACCTACTAGAGGCGCCCCCATGGTGAGACTGAGGGGAAGGACACAGGATCCCCGGAGGTGGTGAAAATGTGACAAAGACGGGGAGGTGGCCCTCACTGCTCAGCCTCCTGGGGCAGCAGACTTCCAAACTGGGCCTTATTTCCCCTGGGCCAGCCCTGATTTGGAAAGGAAGTGTCTGGGGGCTGCTGCCTCCGCCTCCACCGGCACTCCTGGAGACCACCCAGACTACACAGCTGTCTGAAGAACGCGTGAGAAATCATTCTTTGTGGGGTCTTCAACTGGGAAAGAAGGGCTGGCCACTAAGGCCACGGGCAGGGGGCAGCGAGGCGACCAGCTGGGGAGAACCCTTTCCCCTCAGGCTGCACAGAGCCAGGGACCAGCTTCAATGTCACGCAGCATAAAGGTGACACCTCTGGGGTCCTGACTTCATGGAACACAGACCACCCACCTACTGGGAAAGGCGCACCTGCTGGGTGCCACCTAGCACCCAAGGAGGCTGCCATCCTCACCATCCCCTTACAGAGGCCCCAAGACAGGCAGAGATTCAATCAATAATTACCTTCCCAATGATGCTTCCAACTTCCTGCAGGGAAAAAATCACAGAAAGATGATGTCATAGAGCAGGAGGAGGAAAACACCGGAGGCAGACATTGCCGAAACCTGCCTACCTCCCTGTGTGAGTGAAGAAGGAGAATTCAGAATCTGCCGGTGGTGGGGGCGGGGTGGGTGTGTGTACAAGCCAGGCTGCCTATACAGAGGCCCTGAGCCGGGGCTTCCTTGGCACCCACCTGACCAGGCCAGAGATGGGCTGACTCGAAGTGCCCGGGGGGAGGGCAGCTGCCTGCCCCCGATAAGTAACTCAGGGGGCATCACCTGTGCACTCAGGCTGCCAGGAAACCCTGGAAGAAATGCGTGAAAAATAAAGCCTCCTTCAATTGTGTGACTCAAATAAAACTTAGCACTGCTAGTGCTCCATGACTGCTATTTAAAAGGCAGCCTGTTAAAAGGAATGCTGGAAGATGCTGCCACAGTTCTGACGGTGAGCCCGAGGTGGTTTTGGGACACACTCCCCGCTGCGCTGAGTGGCCCAGTATCTCCCTGTCCAGCAGCGGGACGGAGCTGACAGGTGCTACTGTGGCCTGTCACCTGAAGCAGGGCCAGCAATGGTGACTCTGTGAGGCTGTGAGGACAGCGTGCAGAGGGGGCCATGGAGGCAGAGGGAGGCTGTGAGGATGGTGTGCAGAGGGGTACGTGGAGGCAGAGGGAGGCCGTGAGGACGGTGTGCAGAGGGGTCCGTGGAGGGAGACGGAGGCCGTGAGGACGGTGTGCAGAGGGGTCCGTGGAGGCAGAGGGAGGCTGTGAGGACAGTGTGCAGAGGGGTCCGTGGAGGCAGAGGGAGGCTGTGAGGACGGTGTGCAGAGGGATCCGTGGAGGCAGAGGGAGGCTGTGAGGACGGTGTGCAGAGGGGTCCGTGGAGGCAGAGGGAGGCTGTGAGGACGGTGTGCAGAGGGGTCCGTGGAGGCAGAGCTGTCTCTTATACACATCTAGATGTGTATAAGAGACAGGTGCAGACGGATCCGTGGAGGCAGAGGGAGGCTGTGAGGACGGTGTGCAGACGGATCCGTGGAGGCAGAGGGAGGCTGTGAGGACAGTGTGCAGAGGGGTCCGTGGAGGCAGAGGGAGGCTGTGAGGACGGTGTGCAGAGGGATCCGTGGAGGGAGAGGGAGGCTGTGAGGACGGTGTGCAGAGGGGTCCGTGGAGGGAGAGGGAGTGAGGACGGTGTGCAGAGGGGTCCGTGGAGGGAGAGGGAGGCCGTGAGGACGGTGTGCAGAGGGGTCCGTGGAGGGAGAGGGAGGCCGTGAGGATGGCGTGCAGAGGGGTCCGTGGAGGGAGAGGGAGGCTGTGAGGACGGTGCGCAGAGGGGTCTGTGGAGGGAGAGGGAGGCTGTGAGGACGGTGTGCAGAGGGGTCTGTGGAGGGAGAGGGAGGCCGTGAGGATGGCGTGCAGAGGGGTCCATGGAGGGAGAGGGACACTGGACACTAGGAGGGGCCCCTGTCAACCAGGGCACCTCCCCCACAGAGTGCAGCTGGGTGGCATGGCCACTGCTGCTGGAGATAGGGCTGTGCACCTGGCCTCACAGAGCCTCATCTACTGTGGGGCCTTGGCTCCTGACACCCACAGTCGGAGAGGCAGGTCCATCTGTCTCCACTGCAGGAATGAACGCTCTGGGTGTGGGCACCACCACCTTCCCTCAGGAGGAGGCTGTCTTCTGGAAACCTAGGATGTGCCAGTGCTGTGGGGCTAGAGCCCAGAGCCTCCGCCAGCCTCCTCCTGGAGGGAGGCCACACACAGATACTGGCAGCTGGATTCCTCATGGTGCACACCTGAGGCAGGAAGAACTGGGGGACCCTGTGCTGTGGGGCTGGAACTGGGGTTCCATATAGGGAGTTGAACATGGAAGGAAGTGCTCTGCGGAGGTGCAGCCCGGGACCCACAGCAGCCCAGGAGCACCACGCGCCCTGGCTTCCAGAACATGCCACCACATACAGGAGCTACTGAGGGAGTGGTTGGTTCCAGGCCTGGGACAAGGAGGACAAGATGAGCAGAGAGTAGGATGGGGCTGTAGGAACAGGGACTCGTCAGGCCTTGGGGTTCTGGCCAAAGCAGGGCAGCGAGGGCATCGGAGCAAATCACGTGGTCACGGAAGGATGAGCCGGGGAAGAACATAGCAACCCAACTCCCAGAGGATAGAAACATGCTCTGAAAGTCTGAGGAGTTTCCTGCGAGTGGTCAACAGGCACATCCCAGGGCAGAGCTGCTGCTGTGTTCCTGCCAACGGCCAGGAGACCTAGACCAAGGCACAGGTACTCCGCACACACTGCAAAGTGTCAACCGCAGCATCAAAGCCAACCATCTACTCCAGGTGGAAGGGACTCGAGACGGCACCAGGGGATGCCGTGAGGCCGCTATGAAGGAAGCCAGTGGCAGGAATGCATCCGTGTGGGTGCCCTGACACGGATGGCTGTGTGTGGCTGTGCTGGAGAAGGTCCCTGTTGGTAGGAAACACGCAGGAGGTATCAGGTTGGCACTGAGTCTCAAAGGGGCTGTACCTATAACTGCTTTGTAAGTTTGAGATTGCTTAAAATAAGATTAAAAAATGATCCAAAGACCCAGGCAGTATCAGGTTCTGTCTGCTGCGGCCGCCTTTCCTACAGTGCCAATGGTGGCTCCTCTTACCTTTCCATGCATCAGCAGGCGGATGGTAAGGGTCACATTCAGGCCACCTTCTGAGACCTTGGACTCCATCCTTCTGCCAAATTGTGGCTGGGGGTGGTGGCTTAAGGCGCTGAGGGTGCTGTGAGGAAGGACAGATGGGGCCCAGAAGGCGTCACCTGGAGAGAGAAGGCACAGCTGCTGCTAGAGAAGAGTCTCATGGCCCATGCACATCCAGGGGCCTCCTGGGTGGCAGTGGGAAGGGGTTGCCCACCCGCCACGTGCTGACCAGGCCTCACATGCTTGGCACAGGGTACGCAGGAGTTCAGGGGAGGGCCTTGGGAGAGGTCTCCAGGGAGGCCCCAAGGCTACCTCCCTCCTGACACTGGGCAGGCCACCGCAGCTCCTGGCCAAGGTCTGCATCTGCCCAGGCTCATAGGAGCACCTCTCTCAGCAGCCAGAGACTGGCAGGAGCTACCCCTGTGAGGCCCTGGGGACTCGCAGCTCATAGGCCCAGCGCCCTGCAGCTCTGCCCCCTTGCTTCTGCTGTGGCCTCAACACGGTTGCGGGGTGCCGGAGTCCCCTCACCAGGGTGTGGGAGCCGGCCCTTCACATCCCGAGCCTGCCATCCTCATCCCCTCATGCTCTCATGTGACTTAGTCTCTGTCAACTAAGCTGCCAAACAGCTGGTGTCCCTGGCAGTTCTCGGCAAGTGCCTTCCACGCACACAGCGCTGTCTGCAGTCATCGTGTCACTGCTGTGCGCTGTCGTTCAGTGAACTGACGGAGCCCACTGGGCAAAATTAAGGCCTCATTTTATGACTGACCAGCAAAGAATGATAGTAGTGAAGGTGAGGAGCTCGTGCGACGGTCAGGGCGACTTTGTGCGGCACGGTGGGGACCCTGCTCCGAGGAACTGGGCTCTGCAGAGTCAGTTCCACACCGAGTCCTTCCCTGAAGGGCAACACCTCACCCAGGGGGGCTGCCTCGCAAAATCCACCAGGCACAGAACCCTGTGAAGCCGCACCCCCCACCATAATCGAGCTGCCTGGACACTGCCCTTTGATTCAACCGGTTCACACAGAAGAAGAGGCTATGGGTTAAAAGATGGGACAAAGGGCTTTTTTCTCAATAAAATAGTTCTGTTAAAAATATGCTAAAAGAAAAACACAGAGACAACACAGAGGCAAAGCCCATTCCAACTGCCTGTGTGGTGTGTAAGGAGGATCTGCAAACAGCAGCCACAGGTGTCGGGGTGGAGCCACAGCCACGGATGCACCTCTGCACTGACAAAGTGACACGCTGTCTATACCCGCACTGACGCTGTCTACACCTGCGCTTACGCTGTCTACACCCATGCTTACTGTGCTTAAAAACGCATGTATAGGTCACTTCATCAACACACTCAGACTATCACAAAATTACTATAATTTTATTACAAATTGTTATCTGTAATATTATTTGTATTAATTTATAACTTTATTACATTATTATTTGTAATAAAATGACACTTTGAAGGACAAGCATTTTCACGTTGCATTTAACGAGGACTTCACGTAGCACAAAGGGTTCTGAAGATCATCCTCGCATACGAATGCTCTCGCTTCACTGTGTAGCACATCGGCCACATGTGGCTTTTTCAGTTTAAAACTAAACATCCACAAGCACATTTAAAGTGCCAAACAGTCTTGTGTGGGCAGCGGCGGCTGCCAGGGGAAAAGCAGAGAAGCCGTTTCTGGCACCACGGACAGCTCTGCTGGACAGCACAGCTCATGCCATTGCTTCGGTGACTCATTGTAAGTAGTGCGTTCGTGTAGAAAGGTCTCAGAAAGGAGAGAAGAGTATCAGTTCCAATGCATGGCGTGGCCCAATAAGCACCTCTGTGCGCACACGGGCACCCTGAGATAAGCCTGGCTGCAGCCTTTCACCTGTGGGTACCGACGGACCAGCACACATGGACCGGATCTCGGTGTGGCCGCTCTGGAGCTCCGTGCCTCCTTTTTAATTAAAAACTCTCCTCCCTATCAGAGGGACAGCAGGGCCCTGCAGCCATCTGTTATGCCAAGGTTTCCAGCCGAGGGAAGGGAAAGTGGGTCAGCTCCTGCCAGGGGTGCCTGGGGCTCCAGGCTGTCAGCCTCTATCAGTCACACAGGCCAGCGAGCTGCAGCCAGCGCCTCTCTTCATTGCAAGGGCAGCGCGAGTGAGAGGCCGTCCTGTGCAGTGTGGGTCACCTGGGACTCAGTGCCCAGGACCCCAGAGGACCTACCCTGCTCCAGTTAGCAGCTCCCAGAGTTGCAGACCACTTGGAAGGCCAGGGTGAACGAGGTGTCCGCTGCTCTCTCGCTGTCCCTGGGCACCTGCCCGTCCATGCCATTGCAAAGTGTCCTGGCCTTGCTGCCACCTCTGCGGCTACTGCTGTCCTTCCCAGCTAACACTGGCCATCTGCCCAGAGTCCATGGGGCAGTTTGGTGGCTACCAGGAAATGAAGGGCTGAAGTGGAGCCTGCAGCAGCCCACGCTCTGACCACGGGCATCCAAGGCCCCATGCGACTGGCCGTTCCTCGGAATGGAGCCCGTTCTGAGGCTTGTCCACCCCTCCCCACACTGTGTTCCAGAAACAGGCAGAGCTCTGGTCCATCCAGGTCCCTCCCTCTGTCCCGTCCAGTGCTGGAGATTTAGCACATTTTAGCCCATGCAATGGGAGGGGAAGAAGAGACAGGCACAGTCATCCCGTGAGGGCCTGGGCCCCCAACCGCCTCATCCCCGTCCCTGTCTGCACCCGGGGCCCTCACCTGCCTCCCTTCCTGTCTACACCCGGGGCCCTCACCTGCCTCCCTTCCTGTCTATACCCGGGGCCCTCACCTGCCTCCCT